CAGCATGGGCTTGTTAAGGAGTTCATTTGGAGGATTTTTGGGGAGTTGGGGAGGTAGATAATGAGAAGGATGTTGTGCTGTTCCATCAGCTATTGTGTTTCACTTTAGTGCTACCTTTTAAAAGTGTTTCTTTTTTTATATATATTGGCTTTCCTTTGCAAAATTCTATATCTGGAACCAGTCTGTAACACAAACTCTCTTGAGAAGGAAGGGAGGCCAAGTGGATCTAGCATGGATTAATGATATAAACTCATGTACTTCAAGTACAGAGTTCCTTTTAAAAGCCCCAGGCTTTTTATTTAAACCAAACTATTGCTCAAAGCACAGAGGGAAAAAAATCTAAGAACTTTACAGAAGTATGTCAATCAATTAGTCAATGTTTCTGCTTTCATGTGCATAAAGAAACTTTTATTCTTCTACACATTAGCACTTTCTTCTAAGTGCATTGCCACTACAGTCTGAAAAACATTTCTGAAAAGTGGGTCTAGGGCTAATTCACATGACCATTAGTTTGTTTTTAGAGAGAAATGTGCAAAACATGTTTTTCTTCTTGTGTAAATTGGAGAGCACTTTTAATTTCTGAATGTTGGTGGCTACATACAAAAGTCGCCAACTGAATGAAAGAGCCTTCACGTAAATATAACTGTTTTAAGCCATTCTAAACGAAGAATACTCCTCAGTGAGGGACGAGACAACCTTGAAAAGTGACCCATAATATTGGTATTACTTATAAATACAACACTCAGTGGTACATAGCCTTATAGTGAGTCACTGAGAAGCACTGTTACTTAGCTGAAGTTCTCTGCCAAGTTCATTAAATGCAAACACTTAAATGATGTTAGCTTACAAGGCTCTACATCAATAGTTGTGTGTGCGCTTAGTACCATCATAACTGATCATGCATGAGCAAAACGAACAGAGTGAGAGAAATGAGTCTGTTGCAATTGGTTCTAAATACATTAGGTATCTGAACAAGTGTGTTATTAAAGAAAACTGCACCTCTTCTTTATGTACATTTAAGGGAGGATGGTACCAAAATGGGAGGTATGTGTGTAATACATGTGACTACGCATTCTGCTGATTTGGTCATTTTTTTTGAAAAGTCTTAAGCTGGATTTAGTATTTTAGCAATACCACACAAGTAGTGAGTCCAAACGTAATAAAGGAAAATGGCCCAGTAACAAGTAAACTCATAAGCCTGTTGTATGGCTGTTTTAAAGCATTTTAAGTGTGGACTGAGGGTTATGACTAACTTTGTTATAATTAAACTTAAACCTAATACACAGTGTGAAGGTTTTATGAATGAGTTTATTATGGTCAATTGATTTTTTAAAATAAAATGTACAGATTTGTATTGCTTTTTACATCAATCCACATGTTTGCTTATTTAATGACATAGTCCTTGTTGCTTTACAAGGCTCTCTATAAATAGTAAGAATTATTTTTTATTGGTTATACACAAGAAAACTAAAGAAACTGCTTCAAAGACAACAAGAAACAAGACCAAGCTTCTCTATATGTTTTGGCATGTACAACATGACTCATTACTTCCCTTAATGTTTGTGCTTTCTTTCGGGTTTTGTTCATTATACCCACTGACTTAAATAACTCAGATGATTTTTAATTTGATTGAAACCTTCATAAATGCTTATTAATGACTAATGATCATGTCATGTATTGCAACATTTGGTTATCTTTCCTTAGCTTACTCATCTTGAACAAATGCGACCACCTCTTGAGCTCTCCATTTCCTACACGAGGCTCCTAGTCACTGATTGCTTATTACCTGCTGCCTTAGTAAATAGAAGCTAATTGTATGCACATTTCAAGCACACGTATTGAGTGGAATGTATAAAATTTAAAGTGGATATTTCATCAGGCCATGAATAGCAGTTATTAAGTATCTCAATTTGGTTGGGAAAAAATGTTATACTGATTTTGCACATAAAAATGAAAGCATGTTGTTATTTTCTCTAAACCTGAGGTGCTCGCTGCTCCAGAGGCAAACTGTTGAAATACTGGCACAAGCACAGTTTAAACTGGGTGTTTTTGATTAAAAGTATTGTGGAGTTTATTTTCTCAATACATTTGGCTCAGATACCTTCCCTTCTCTTTGTTGACAAAAAGCCCTGATAAATAACCTAGCACCAAGCCAGAATATACAGTAATACTGCCTGATAAATTTAAGTCTCTTGATGTGCAAAACTGATAGAGACATACCCCAAGTGACTTACAGCTGTAATCGCAGCAAAAGGTGGTGCTACAAAGTATTAACTTAAGGGGGCTGAATAATTTTGCACGCCCAATTTTTCAGTTTTTTATTTGTTAAAAAAGTTTGAAATATCCAATAAATTTCGTTCCACTTCATGATTGTGTCCCACTTGTTGTTGATTCTTCACAAAAAATTACAGTTTTATATCTTTATGTTTGAAGCCTGAAATGTGGCAAAAGGTCGCAAAGTTAAAGGGGGCCGAATACTTTCGCAAAGCACTGTATACAGGCAGCCTCATTAAATCATTGAACTGTGAAAGTGATGTGAGTTAATCTTGGCACCACAAAAATAGTTTTCTATCTTTAATGAACCTGGAAGCCTTATCGGTTTACCGGCGAGCTAATGCGATGTAGCATCATTTGTGGTATACAGTTTAAGATGAGAGGCCTCTTCAGAATTGATATTCTGAACTGCACCTCAGAACTTCATAGGCAAATCCTGGCTCAAATGAAGTCAATGCAATTATCAATCACCTCATGCATCTGAGGCTGACAGAGGAGAGGCCTCCACTTTGCATGATGATTGTGAATCAAAACAACAGAAAAATAAAAAATATACTTCACTGAAGTGTTTATAAAATGAACTGGGAACAAAATTAAACTCACTATGACCTGGAATATGATGCATGACAGTGTGAGTTACTGTACTGTATAAGTAATAAGAGATTCTCTGAACCCTGAAAAGTATTGTATAAACTTGGACAAAAGAGGGACAGAGGGAGAGAGAGAGTTACTAATTCAGCCAGAGAGATGAAAAACTGCTGAGTCTAGAGGACAGAGACCAGTCTATTACCACTTTTATTGAAATGTTATTTGGAAATACATTCACTGGATAGTCTCCATGAATAAAAAAAAGAATAGCTTCTAAGTATAATCTAAGTATAAAAGGTGAAATCTTACCTTTATCCTCAACGGAGAAATGGAAGCGATCAGATGTAGCATTTTCCTCATTCCGCAACACATAGCAAATGTTCAGCTCATCAATATCAGCTGTAACAAAAAAGTAGTTTAATTGAGTTTTGTTTCTTTTTTTCTTGTCAAACGTGCAAGTGATAAAAACAACAGAACTGGGGGGAAAAAAAAACAGAAATTTGTTCATTTATGATAAAACTCTGTCACCCAAAAACCAACCAAGAAAGACAAATACAAAATCAAGATGACAAGCACACAACAACAACTGTAATTAATGACAGAATGCAAATGAGCATACTCTGCATTTTAAACTGAAGCATTACAATGTTGTGTCGATGTGAGATGATGCATGATGAATATTTTAAGTCACCTTGCCCTCATCTTAAGCAAGGTGATTGCAAAATTATAAACTCTATTTTGAAGAGATTTCACCTTGTCAAGATTATATATATTGTGTGTATATATATAAACATACAAGCATGAAAGAATTTGCATTTCAAGATAAAAAAAAACCTTCATGTGAAGTTTCATGCTGGCTACAGAAATAGCCTCAAACACACTTTGAAGTTGTATTATGGCATTATGGTTCTTCAAACGCTTGCTCTCTCTCTGTCGAATAATTGTTCAAAGATAGAAGCTGTCCCGCTTCAGCGCCATATCTGCTATAGTAACAGCATGTCTCTAGTATCACACTGGTTTAGTTTCTTATCAGGACCCAGCATAAACTATTTTTTCTATCAAAGAAAGTATTCTGAAAGTCATGGATCAGTGATCTGAAAAGAAAAGGCCACAACCTCGAATCTAAGACAGCTCGAGCTAAACCGGCAAACATGTTAAAGTCCTGAACGTTTTCTGTATCACAGCCCTAAAAAAAATAGGTGACAGAGTGTTCTAATGACAGACAAGACAAAGAATGTTAAAAACAGGATTAAATGGACACCTACACTTCCACAGCTGTTTCCTTAATGTCTCTGAATTACAGGGCTCTGTCTGTACTTTTTCCCACCAATCTCCAGAAACGTCTATTACAGTGCAGAAAAATCATCAAGACTGTGAAAAGGCCTGGCCTCTGTGAACCACCTCCTTCAATAATAGATGTCAGAGGAAGAAGGTTCATAAAAGTGTAAACCCCTGACTCCTACTGTAGCTGGGATGCAACCCAAACCTCCTAGGTGGTTTGCTGTCAATGCTGCCTTCTTCTCTTATAACACAGAGGCATGGACCAAACATGTATAACCAATTTACATGATATATTTAATACAATTAGGCTGTTTTACTTTTGGTGTTCATCGTTTCCCATTGAACAGGAGAGGATGCAAGAAAAGGGTCTTCTCTGAAACTTTGTGACACAGCCTTGAACCCAAGGACCTTGCAAATATAAAGTCAATGCTGTGAACCAGGGGCACGCTGCTCATCAAATATTTAGAGAGGACGTGCTCATGGGATGTGCCCTGGAAATAGATTGAGCAAATAAAGAGTGAGGGATTGTCTCTTTCATCTGACTGATTTTTCTGACGAACCAGTTTGCTCTCTCTCACTCACTCACTCTCACACCCCTCCCCTCCCCTCATTCTTTCTCTCATGTCACTTACACCTCCCCCTACCCCACTTTTCTCCTGCCTCCTTTGCTCTCCCTGCATCCTTTTTTTTTTTGCTGTCTTGTCTCATCTGTGCGCAATGCTGATCAAGACAGTTCAAGACACTTCTTGGGCTGCATTGTACACCACTACTGAGTCTGCACTCCTCCTGCTTATAACTTGGTGATGATATCTCCCATTCACTGTATACTGGCAACTAATGTAGACAGTATGGCAAATACATACAGTGCTAAACTGGTTAGAATATTGTTGTACATAGCAAAGAAGGTGAAATTTTAGATTTCCAAGGACATAGCCACAGTGGAGGACTGGTATGGAGAAATACAGGATAATGCCTTTCAAAAGACCAGCTTTCACCTTGCATGATAATAAGCATGGATTTATTAATATGTGGCAACCTGTGATGGACACAGTGGATCCCCATGGGCTGAGCATCATCTTAATTACCTGAATGGACAGTCACTACCTGTTACTAATTACTAATAAAATTAGCTGTCAAAAAGCTAGTATATTTACTGTATGTATGTGTGGGTGTATAGTGACTATGATACTGTTGATAATCCTGCTGTATTTTCTTTCTTTCCATTTATTTGTTTGTTTTTTCCTGGTTCTTTGTAATTGTCCTGAAGCATGTTGGACAGGGAATATATGGTTCTGCCCAGTTTACAGTACACGTTAAAGCAATGATAGAACACATGAGTTGTAACTGGACAGAATTGTTCATAAAAAAATATGTAAAAGAAAAAGAAGTGTCCATCTGCAGACTGTAGAGCTCTTTTCTACTCTGTGTTCTCAGCCCTTGTCTGTGGTTATGCCAAGCTGTGGCACCAGCAGGTGAACTATCTTACTTGTTTGTTTAATTGCCACAGCATGATATAAAATACCACATTCACTGCACCACTATAAACCTCAATAAATGCCAGTGTTGTGTTGATTCTGTTGTGTTGCATGCATGCAAAAATGGTTTTAAATTCATAGTTCAGGTGGCAAATGTTGCTCTGTATGCCGGGGGAGTAGAGAAGTGTGTTTCTGCTGAGAGGTTCCAGTTTTCTAGACAAATTTTTAAAGTAAACAAATGTCAAAATTGATATGACTAGTCAGACCTTCGCTACATCTCAAATGCCACCCTGTCACTAAAAGGTCTGTGCTGACCTTTTCACATGATCCTCTACTTCTGTCCTTGTTTCATTTAACAAACCACTGTAGAGAACATCAGATGTGAACATTTCCCCAGAGAAGCAGAAATAATAAATTATTCATCTCTAACCATCTACAAGACATTTGTGCAAAACATCAGCCTCTAACTTGGTCTGCTAATTATGATTTGATGAGCAAGGCACATCTAAATCAGGCCCACAAATTAACTATTGAAAATCCCAAGACAGTACTTGTCACACATCTGAATAATTATTACTCCATAAATTAAACTCTGTTAGGTGGTGTGAAAAATTAATCAAAATGTACAGTTGAGATGTGAAAGAATTTTGACATTTTTCTCCAAAATTAAGGTTATCACCTCACATGTTAGAGAACCTTCATTATTTGATAACATAAATGTTGATTTAAACAGTCTCCTTTTGCCAAATAAGCACAGTATTGAGAGTAATGTTGTCTCAGTAATTGGGCCTGATAAAGCTGTTTGAATAGAAAAAGACATTTTTCATATCAGGTTGACACAAATGACTATTTGCTTACTAATTTGTAAATTGCGGTTGAGTGCAGTAACCTTTCAGGAAATTTTGTTTTCCAGATAGAACAAACTGCATTTTACAATCCTTTATTTCTGAAGTTCACTATCTAGAGCTTAACAAAATCATTGTCATTATATGTATTTAAGCATATATTATAATGCTGCTGAGAGACTTGTGCAGAGCTTACCTTGACTAAATGTGCTGATTGAGTTGTTTCCTTGTCCCATGTTAATGATGTAGCCATGTCTGGGCTGGATGGTGATGTGGAACACCAGCGAGTCTGGGCTGCTATCTCTGTCCTCTGCCCTCAGCACTTTGGAGCTGATGGGGAATCCCAGGCGACCTGTGGGCAAGCTCTTCAAAGTATGGGCACCTTTATTCACCACAATCTGTGGGACACCATTGTCAATCGCCACAATAGTGATCTTCATAGTTTGGGGGCGCCAAGTCTCAAAAACAGTGTCGGGGAAAACATAAAAGCTGGTGTGCGTGCCATCGGTGACCTTAAAGGAGAAGGAGTCCTCTCGTGACTCTATACCATCGTGTTTGTAGCTGATGAGGTTTTCATTGAGGTCATGTTTTGTGAAGCTGGTGACAGGCATGGACTGGTTGTAGAGGAGTTTACCATGAACAGGCGGCTGGATGATGGTGAATTTCAGCAGCTTCTCCGCCGTGTCCTGGTCCTCAGCAGTGAGCTCAAATGGTGTGATCAGCTTCATCTGCCCTTCTGTGACAACTAAAGTGTTTACAGTCACAACAGGCTTCTTATTATCAACATCCACAATAGAGATTCTGAATGTTCTGAAAACAGGATTGTAGCCATCAGTGACTTCAAACTCAAAACTGTCCATTTTCACCTCATCATCTGACGTGTGGATGTAGTAAATCTTACTGCCAGCCAGCTGCAGTTGGGTAAAAGACCCAATGGGCATCCCAGGAGTATCTGTACTCTCCAAGTGGCCCCTGACAGGTGCCTTCGTGATGGTAAAGACCAAGTTCTCATCAGGGCTGTTGAGGTCACTTGTGCTGAGAAGGTCTGTGGTCAAAGTCACTCTGCCCCCTTCTCTCAGAGACACACCTTTATTGACCACATTAGGGAAAACCATGTCAATACTGCCTATGGTGATGTAGAAGTAGCGATCAATTAGTGGGTTCATTCCATCTGTCACATCAAATTTGACCAAATCTCGGATGCCCTCCTGTCCGCTGTGTGTGTAAATTATAAGCCCTGAATCAATTTCAGCTTGTGTAAAATTCATGCCTAGAGTGATGTTCTCCAGAGATCCAGATGGGGTTTTCCTCTGCAGGAGACCCTGACCAGGCCCGAGCCTGATGATATATGTGAGTGTGCTGTCATCTGAATCTAAATCTGTCGCTTTGAGCACTTTGTTTTTAATCTCTTTGGTCTCTCCGATTTCCACCTCTAGACCATCGTTGATTAGCATTCTGGGAGTCTCATCATCAACAGCAAAGATCACAACCGTGGCTGTTTTCTGCACAGAATACTTTCCATCCGTCAGAATGACATCAAAACTGTCCTCTGTTGTCTCTGAGTCATCATGCTCATAAATAATACTTGATGCTTCCCTGATCTGCTCTAAAGTGAAATTAGTCACCAAAACTGGGCCTGTGGGGAGCTGGTTTAAAATGGCACCATGTTTGGGAGGTTTACAAATGATGAACATCAGCTCCTCAGCTGGAATATCAGCATCGGCCCCGTTCAGAATCGGAGTATCGATGACAGTGTTCATCCCCTCCATTACAACTATCTCCCTCAGATGAATCTCTGGCTTTTCATCATTTGCTGGGATGATAACTACTGGGAAAAAATGATTATCTGACAAATTGATGCCATCGGAGCACCTAAATGTGAATCGGTCCTCTACCGGCTCGGCTCCTTTGTGAATACTCTGCACATAGTAGATATTCCCCTCCCTGATGTCTCTGATGGTAAAAGCGCTGACAGCTGTTCCTGACCTGGACTTTTCTGAGCCTGGAGCAGGTGATATATTTTCCACATAGCCAGCAGTGGGCTGGATGATAATAGTGCAAAGGATATCATCCGTTGGAGTGTCATTATCATCAGCATTCAAGTGCTGAGGGCCGATGGTGTATTTCTCCCCTTCAATAACACTAAATTGAATCCCAACTTTGACCTCTGGGGCCTGGCTATCAACAGGAAGGATAGTGACTTGAACATGGACTCCAGTGATCTTATTGCCATCTACTGTCCAATCATTGGACATGTCTGTGAGAGTCAAATTGAAGCCATCCTGCTGAGACATGAGACCTATCTCACCACTGGTGTGTGTGTAAACAACCACACCATTAATAATATCGGCCTGTGTAAAGCTAGTTGCAGGCACCCCTTTAACCAATATTTCACCCATAACTGGAGGATCTTCCACAATAAAGGTTAGCTGGAGGTCATCGGTGTCATCGTCATGGCCTTGAATGATATTAGTTGTGATTTCTGTGGCTCCATTTTCCAACACATCCATATGAAAGCCGATTGTTCCTGCAGTCAGGCTGACGGTTGGAGGTTCATCATCGACAGGCTTTACATTAACTTTGACTGTCACGGCTACAACATGGATCCCATCACTGACATCCAGCTGAAATTCATCACTCGCCGTCTCCTCCCCATTATGAATATATGATATTTTCCCCTCTGAGACATCCTCAAGTCTGAAAATGCCTTTTATCTCTAGGTCAGTAAATGCAGCTTGGATCTGGCCATGTTTAGGAGGTTGGCTTAGAGTAAAGCTAATCTGTTTAATGTCTGTGTCGAGATCTGTGGCATCCAGCTCAGCGATGGTGATTATGTGCATTCTGTGTTCAAACACAGTAAAGCCAGTGTTTGTAATCTGAGGGGGTTTATTGTTGACAGGCTGCAGATTGAGAGTGAAAGCCCCTTCTACACTGTTCCCAGCTGTGTCTTCAACAGTGTAACGAAACTGCACAACGTGGGCTGTAATTCCGAGCTCAACATCTGGGGGGTGGTAGGAGATCTTATGATGGTTAATCTGAGCTTGTGTGAACTCTGTGACTTCAGTGTCAGGGCTGTCTGTCAGGACCAAAGAACCAAACGCAACCGGGTTATTTTCATCAGTATCTACTGGTGGCTGGATAACAGTGTATTTGAGGTCGCGGTCTTCAGAGTCCAAATCAGTGTAGCGCAAAACTTCTTTGCTAAATTGAGTAAGCTTGTACTCCTGAACTGTCATTTGCAGTGTGGTGCCGGGGAACAGTTTAGGGGGAACGTCATCAATAGGTAAAACTCGAATTAGAAATACACTCTCTCCTGATTCATTAGGGGGGTCACTGTCATCCTGAACTGTGAACACAAACTGATCCATGATGGCATCTGTGCTGTGACGGCCTGTGTGTTTATAAAACAATTTCCCATCAGTGATATCTTTCTGAAGCCATTTTGTCACATCCTTCTCATACACTTCATCCTCAGCATTGAACTTCCAAGAAGACGGGTCCTCGGGGGCATCTGACTGCCTTAGAAGCATTGTGCCAATTGTGGAAAAGGGAGGTACAACTGTGAATTTAATAGTTGAGTCCTCAGAGTCAATATCAGCAGCACTGAGCATGAGAGGAGTTACAGGCATCATCTGATTTTTGAATAGCACTAGGCCAGTGTTGGCATTTATAATTGGTGGCTCATCATCAGTGGGAACGATTGTAATGGGAAAAAGAAATTCTACTTCATTTTTCCCATCTGTCATTTTGAAGACAATGTTGTCGCTGTATGTGTCACTCCCATCATGCTGGTACACAACAACCCCTGCTGTAAGGTCGGCAGGTGTGAAGTATTTCCTGTGAGAGCCCAGCACCATGAGGTCCCCATGGCGCAGCCCATCCAGAGCTGTGATGATGACAGCATCAAGGTTGTCTTCATCGCTGATCTCCAAGTTGTGGGTGCTGAAGAGAGGCCGAGACTGTCCCTCGTACAGCAGCTGACCTGTGTTAAGTGTCACAACAGGGGCCAAAGTGTTCATTGGCTTCACGATGATCATAAAAGCAGAAGGGTCTGAGATGCCACCGTCTGTGTCTATCACCTCAAACTCAAGCTGGAAAATCCTCTCAGTGTCTGAGTCCAGGGAGGGGGGCTTGTAAGCTATCTTCAAATCACGCAAGTCTCTCTGATAAAAGGATGTGATAGGGAGGTTTCTGTCATCAGTGCTGACTATGTAGCCCTCCTCATAAGATAAGGGAGAGGTGATGTTGAAAATAAGATCATCTGGGTCTGACTCTGCATCTTCAGCAGCAAGCATATCAGGGGTGAGGGCAGTCATGACAAACTGGCTGACCTCCATCATCATCATGGACACAAAGCTGGTTTTGGGGGGAGTGTTTTCTTCTCCATCTTTGATGCGAATCATAATTTGGAAATATTCTCGTATCACTAGGTTGCCTTCCTTGTCATGCAGCTCCACAAGCATGGGAACATAGTCCCTGTTGGGGGACTTGCGGTCAAATGTGTGCTCATAGCGAATGCCAGCTTGTGTGAATTCGTCACAGTCCATCATCCCGGAAAGTTTCCCCCCATCAATTAGTCTTCCATATCTTGGCAAAGCGCTGGACAGCGATGCCACCTCACATTTGTGAGAGTTTCTATCATAAGTAAAGTCTAAAATCCTCTTATCAATAGGATTACTGATCCCTTTAAGATTAGCAATAGTGAGAGGCAGATTTTTGGTGAGTAACTCCAGCTGCGTAAAAACGACTTCAACCTCCATCATAAACGGGATAATAATGGTTTCGGTGTGCGCGTCATACCTGAGCTGCAGCCTCACTCTGTCTTTAGCTGGACTCCTAGACCCGTAGTGCGAGTATGTCACATCGTTGGGACCAAAATCACACAAAAACTTTTTGGGAGCAAGATGCCCCGGTCTCTGTGAGAGCGGATCATTTTCCAGGACAGTGATGCTGCATCGATCCCCCGGCTGCGTTTGAATGACTAAATCATTTATGGGATCGATGAACACCGATCTCCCGAAAGGCACACGTATTCCGTTGTTGGCCACCAAGATTGAATCCTCTGACAGTTCAGATCTCAGTGCGTAAAATAATCCAGAGCTGTCGGGCTGCGCGAAAACAATACCACTTACTGAACAACACAGGAGAAGTCTATAGAACAACATCTTGGCAACAGATTTGATCCAACCCCCAAATAACAGTCACTCTGCCAAGGGGGTGATGGCAAATACTCCCGACTTTTTTACTCGAAACGGTAAAAATCCCCAAAGTGTTGGGAGTCAGCTGGATGTCTACACGGTGCCTCCAAAGGATCTAGCCGTGCAGACGCTCAACATACTCAGCGATAACGGCGCGCAGGAGTTTTAACTTCAGATACTTGAGAGCTGCGTAAAGGTGCCACCGCCCATTTCTGCACACTGGAGGATTTTGAGGGCTTGTTGTCACAGCTTTATGACCAATAGGCACTAGACTGACAATCACAGGGAGGCGGAACTAGAAGATCAGATCAATTATTCATGTATGGATAATTTCATAGGGTGCAATTACTGAGCTTGAGCTGTCAGGACGATTTACAGGATATTATCAGGGTATTTAAAGATAGTTGCTCCTTAAAGAAAAATGGCTTATTTAAGTACGAGTACGACAGATCATGTCATCTGTGGACACAGAGAACAGTGATGAAACTGGAAGAAATGTCAAAATTGTAACCCCGGGGCTGCAGAGGGTGTTAATATTTTCCACGTTAGAATAAAAGGAAAAGTTTTGTTCTAACTCCACTAACTTTGTTATATTACTGCTTTGATAATTTAGCTTACTAGAGAGATGAAAAATGAAAGAATATTTTTTAATGTACCAACGGAAAAACAATTGAAACATTTTTATAACAGATGATTTTAACAACTTTATTTGTTTCTTGTGCACAAATTTGGATAAACTATGTACTAGTAGGTTAGTATGTCCTAGTGTTCATTTGTAAATATTAATATGATTCATTTTTACATCTTCAGAAAACGAAGCTTGTTATGAGCCTGGTTGGAGTTCTAAGACACACATTGTCCTGGTTTGACAGTAGATCGCTTGCATGTCACCTGTCTCTCTCACTCTTCTCCCTCTCCAAATAGTTCATCAAACAAGCTAATAAATAAATAATGATATGTGTGCACAGTTTGCACATGATGGTATTTCTTGAGTACAATAGTGAGTTATATAAAAATCCATAAAGTTATTCAAAAATGCTTCTACAGGTTTGTGAAGACTGGAGAGACTATCCTGCTAGACCTTGCTGGTCCTAGGGAGAAAATGACGGGTCTGTCAAGGCTAATTCATGAGAAACTAAACCCACTTCTTTCCCAACCTGCTCTGTAAACAAGCTTGTTTTATGTGATCAGCTCTCTGCTATTTCAATTGTTTCCTGAATATTTTTTATTTGACATTTAGCATTTGAGAAGAGAGATTTGCAGTGGTTTTGGCACCAGTCCCTGTCAAAATTGTAGCTACAGTTACTGAGAAACATGGCGTAGTTTTCAAGAACTTGAAAAAGTTCATCAACGACCGTGAATATGTGGCATTATCAGTGAAATTCATATAGAGATTATGTTCCAACTGAAGGGTCTTTCTATTACTATGAAACTGGCTACAAGTTTCAAAAATAATTATAAAATCTAAGGTTCTGCAGTATAAACCTTGAGCCTTGAGTCAATATTCGAAGCACTGTCTGTGACTACATTTTGTTCTTCACCCTCCACCACCCACATTTAAATTGTCAGGTGATTAGAGGGTTTCTAGTGCCTTGTCATTTCAAAGTACAAACATGGCACCTCCAGCTTTTCAGCTGCCATACTATTTATATGTGCTACAGCGTTCTTCTTGTGACTTTACATGAAAGAAGCTGCTCAGATACATGCATTTGGATATACTCTGTGCGAAGTGAGTATTTAGACAGATTATGTTGATCAAAACAAAGAGAAAGAGAGAAAATAAAGGAGAGCAGTAAAGAGGATTATCTGGCTGAGGAAATAAGAAATTTCCACCTGAAACCTCAAGGTACAATGTTTGTTTAGCACAAAGTTATTTTCCTTAGAAAAAGATAGAAAGAAGTCCATGTGATGGCACGATGAGCACCTGTTTATACTGTATGTCTATTATTTTGACTGCCTGGATGCCTCTTCTCCCATCTGACTAATTAGCACCAAAACTCTGGCTAGTTCCCACAGCTCATATCGATCACCTACTAAGTACTTTGAAACTTCTAGAAAGTCCAGCCTCCAATTTATGACATATTCATACGGTATGGGATGCAGGGCTCCTTCTGCACAGTGACTGTGATAAGGCCACACATGGAGATTCCAGAATTTGAGCCTACAGGGGAATGTGAAAGATTTAAAACTGTCAGGTAATGAGACAGTCTGAGGGCTGGGTACCCACTAGGTTGCTGCATTTGCATAAAATGACAAAAACATTCCATACTTATCAAAAAAGCTGATGAATTTGAATAAACATTTTGTGATGAGCTGAACCCAGATTCACCATTAAAAAACAAATGAATATTCACCAGTGGCAGGATCACACCAGAGCAGAGTAATCCAAATCTATTTTAAATATTTGTGTCATTCTTGTTGGCCAGTATGAAAACTGATGAAGCTTATTATTACTTGTTTGGAGGAAATGATATTGCCTTGTTACCAGGGGACGTAACTGCCGAAAAGCTGTCAAAAACTTCCAAAATAACTGCAATCAAAACAACGCAGATTCTCACTGCAAGGCTGAGAAACTAAAATGTGGCTTTACAACACTAAGGAAATTTGATTTGTTTGCAGACACACACCACCCACATGCCTCTGTCCCACCAGAATCAGGAGGTGGGAGTTTTAATCTGTGATGGTACGACAAAGCCGAGTGTGGCATTTAAAGCAAAGAGGATGTTTTTTTTATTTATTTTTTTTTTTGTTTGTTTTTGATTTGTCTCTTAATACTTAATATGCTTTTGTATGTTAATTGCACTAGTTGAAATTATGTACATTATCTAAATGAATAAATTTCAAGCACTGAAAATAACTTAATGTGATAAAATGCACACACAGTAATGGAAATAATACAAGTACCTTTTGGGGCAATTTAAACCTTAATTGAGTATTTTTGTGCTCTTTATACCTCAGCATGACTGCATTTCAAATAGGAATAAAACCTTTTGACTCTATTGTAGCAGCTATAGTTACTTCACACATTAATATTTAGAAATGAAACATCTGAACATCCATCCATTAATTATATCACTTATCCTGAGGGGCAGGGGCCGATCCCTGCTAACAAGAAGGGAAAGGCAAGGAACACACCGAACAGACTCCAGCCTATCAGGTGACCGGTATACATATAGACAATGATGACCATTCACACTCATATTCACACTTATGTGGAATTTATCATCACCAATTAACCTAACCTGCATGTCTTTGGACTGCGGCAAGAAGCCTGAGTACCTGGTGGAAACCCAGGTACTCAGAATGTGAGAATTGCACACAGAAAGGCCTCAAACGAACCCCGAATCTTCTTGCTGTGAGGCAACAGCGCTAAACACTACAGCAACTACCCAGCAGTATATAAAGTAGCACTCAGAACCTGCTGTTTCTTCACGAAGCACATGTATAAAAGCAATAGGTTGACATTTAAAACTACTGATTTTACCTCACTGCAGATCCAACCTGCAATTACTTTTTGTCTGGGTCAGCAAAAAGTGTAATGGGAACCCCCCACACTCCTTACCCCCATTCACAAGGGGACACACAACCACACAGATTCACATCTGGCCTGTCTTCATCCCCATAGTACAGCTGTGAAAATGTAGGCATTCAGAGGACACACTAGGAGCTCCTTACTCTAAACAGGCATCTCAGCCTGCTTTGTAATCATCAATACAACAACTGTGTGAGTTTACACAACAGTCTGGTGAAAATGCCAGTTTGTTCCTGTGCCTCACACTCATTATCATTACAGGTGTCAATGCTCCTGCAGGCTTTTGCCTTTCAGCTAGGGAATCAAAGTTATTATCATAAATTAGAGGAGAACTGTGTAAAACTCTACTGGATTGTGATTCTGATTTTAGATCATTTACCGACAACTGTGAGAAAAGACAGACCTTCAGTGAATCTCTGTGCCACTTTCCAGTTTGCATCAGTTTCTTTAAGGAATTTAGTTTTGAAAAGGTTCATGTTTCCCAGGATGAGATGGGAATTTTGCCTTTAAAAAATGCAGAACAGGTTCTAAACTGAAGGGCTGAGCTATAATGACTTGATTACAGTTCGTGTGTGAAACATTTTATGGCTGGTTGGCTTTGTGACATGCCCCCTACAGAGCACATTTTCTCTATTTCATGCGCTTTCACAGAGGTGATGAGTCCAATAAGGGACAAGCCTGCACCACTCCATCACACATCAGATAAAGCACTCATCCCTGCAGGCAGTGTCAATTTGCAAAGGTTGTTGTCAAGCTCCTGTGGCTTGTTGGAGATGAACATTTGTTATAGGATGTTTACAGCATTTTCTTGTTACTGCGAATTATAATGTGCACCAAAGATGATTATGAGAAGCGAAGATGTTTTAAACCAATGAAACATGCTTCTTAGATTTTGTTTTACAGAACAAATTAAGCTGCTTCCATAAGAAAAGAAAATAAACACCCTTACTACACAGCAACTTACTTACTAAGGAGATTATTTGCCATGTTACAGTGAAGGAAATATTTTAATTGTGCAATAAAAACAAAATGAAACTGTGCAGTTTCTTTGAACAAGGTAGATCAATCATTTCAGCTCAGTTATGATTTCCTTTTAAGTGATCAGGGACATAAATGGTGTATTTTGTAATAGGCTACTGCTCTCTGGTGGTGAAGGGCAGCAGCAGCATCCAGGGATCAGCTCATGAGTGAAGTACTAAAGGTTATCAGGTGCTGAAATGTATCAAGTTGCACTGACAGCAAAATGAAAGCAATGCACTGATGGATCCAACATCATGATTGAAGCATTTCTTTGCTAATTTTCTTGCTATAGTGCTGCAGTTACAGTGAATTATTCCCACTAAGAATGACATGGCAATAGTTTTTGCTGGCTCCAGGCTGAAAAAGGTAGTCAGAATAAGAGGGTTATTTTATATATGCATGTAGGGTGTTAAGAAAGTTATACAAGCACATCAGATGACACACACACAAAATCCACGTTCAACTTGCAAACTAACTTCAGGGAGGATTTTTTTACACTGACATCTGACATTTCAGGCATCTCTGCACTCTGGGCTGTGCACACCTTGCAGAAATAAATCCTACGCAGAAACTATTTGAGAGCAGCATCGTTAAAGGCAGCTGTAAAAAAAAAATGACAGAGAGAGAGTCTGAGTGTCTAATGACAAAGTATCAGCCATCACAGCTGAACTCAGAGTGAGAACAGGCAGTGCGGCTGGTTTGAAGGTTAACTGTCATCTGTACGACACCCTTTTCATCTACTCCAGCTCTGCTTCTTCCTTCCTTGTCCACTAACACTTGCTGTAAATTCACATACACACAAGCATAAGATGGAGCAAAGGTAGTCCTCATAGCTGGGCCACAAGATTGTACTTAGAATTAACAGTAATCTTAGCATCTCAGCTAAATTTATCACAGAAGACAGAAAACAGAAAATGGAAACAATATACAGCATTTGTAGCAAAATAAAAACCTTGAAAAAGATCAAACCTGGGTTTGGATGTGTTTTAATGAAACCAAGACCCTGCTTTAAAGCCTCATTACCTATTCACTTTAGCCTGAGGGATAAGACTGTGTATACTCAGAACTACAATAAAGAAGTATATTCCACTTGGCAGGGATACATTTACTGTTTTCACCTTGTTGCTGAATTAAAGAAAACTGCAGAATGCCTAATTACACTTCATTAAGATTATTTAGTTGAGATTCTGCAGAGGAAGAGATATAAGCATGAATGTGGGAACACTTCTTTATGAGGTTTTCTACCAGCTGCCATATTCATTTTAAGACAGAAGGGGGCAGAATTAGGTCATTAGTATAATTAAATAATTTTGAGGGGATCCTTAAATGGATTTTTATTAATATCCCTGCAGTGTAATATCACCTGGCATTGTCTGTTTGGTGTCTGCACATACACCTTCATATACACAGCGAGAGATGAGTGAGAATGAAGTGAAAATGAGCTGGATGTGCTGTCAGAGGGGAACTGTTTCCATTCCCTCATTCCACATTTCTTTATCTGGCTAAGTGACCTGTAGCCACAGCGTTGGTCTTATCTAGGCAGCGACTGTGGAGGACCACCAGATCTCATTTAAGATTGGTTGCCTTTAATGAGAGGCACAAAGGATTTGGGAAGAAGAAGATGGAGGAGTCCGTGGAAAACACCATTTAGTGGGTCTTGATCCCTCTATCTATTCTTCTCTTTCACACACACTTGCACACAGCTTAATACATGGCCACTGTGACCAGTCACTATTCTGTCATCCTAGTATCTACAGCCCGTCCTCTGGTTTCTCTGCACGTCTGCCATATTCAAGCTGAGAGACTAAGAACACCGCTGAGACTTCAAAACACTTGGCATCTCAGATTATGAGCTGCTGCAAGACAGATCGATCAATAAATACGACAAGTTTGATGTTTGTCAATTTTGTATAGCCCCATTAAACATTTTAAAGTTGCAACAATTGATTAGAAACTGAATATGTGTCAATCAAAGTAAGTTATGTTACTGGTTTGTAAGATAAAACTGTGAAGAGCTTCAGAGCTTATATTTAGGTGTCAATCTTGTTACTTCTGGGACTTTTTTTTGCATCTGTCTGAATTCACACAATTGCAAGGGCAAGATGTCAGGATTCCTGCCTCAGCGCACTTTATACTGGCCATTCTCTGTCCTCTTATCAGATATCCCCAGTCTTTTCCTCAGAGCCCTGTTTTCTTACTTACACCTTCCCTGCTGTACCCTGTGATCTTCCACACATACTCACACCTGTTTCCAGTTTCTTTGTTACTGTCAGTATTTAAAATTGTCACTTCTACCTGCGACCTGACAGCCAGGCAAGTTTCCATGTGTTTTTGCTTTGGACCTACATTTTTGCCTACATGCCTGTTACCTCTTCTGTTTTTGTTGCTGTTATCTGAACCTGTACCAGCTTGCCTCATTGTCTAGTCACTTCACTCAAACAGCCTGCTTGTCTGCATGTGGGACCTGTTTCTTGTTGCCTCATACCTGTACTGAGACACCAGAAGAGAAGCTGGGGACACATTCCAGACATCACTGGTGCTGCACTGGTGTCAGATTATGTAAACACAAACAGATGGATTGAAAGCAATACAGGACAGACCTTAATTAAATAGCAACTCGATTAACCCCCTACCACCATCACCATCAAGTTTAAAACGTTCATCAAAAAAGGTGAGGCAACTCACAACTGCACACACATCCCCTCTTCACATTGTCTCATCTGAACTGAAGGACTGCCACAGGTGCACAGAATTTCAGCCAGAGCATCATCTAACATGACACATGCCTGGAGGGCCTGTTCTGCTGCAGAGCCAACCCAATGTTATATCATTTGTCTGAAAGGTTGAAAAGGTGCTGATACAGTGGTGAATCAGAGGCTGTCCCAGTCAGGGCTTTGTGCAGCAGCTCATCCTAAACTTGGCTCAGGGCAGAGAGCTCAACCTGAAATGTGATTATGAAGCATCTTTCTGCCTCATTGCTTCTAACAATTACATTGCAGTACCTGCTTTGTCAGACAGTGAAATTTTAATTTCATGCATAAAAGACCACAAAATCAAAGGATGTGAGAATGTCAGATATTAATGTTAACCTGGAAACAACATCCCACCATTGGTTTAAAAATCATAATTTAAACGGCCTTCAGGGATACACACATGCAAACTGTAAAACATGTATATACATATGATACTGCAAATAACTGCAGTAATTAAATTGTGAGCACAAGGCCAACCTCAGATGCATCCAGGGAACTCTGTAGTCTTTTCCATTTTCACAAGCACAATTCTGGAGTACGTGCCCAGCATTTATTTTAATTTAAATAAATTAAAACACCCCTTTGTGATGGTACTTCTGCTCCCCCAGCCCATCTGAAGCTGCATTCTAATGGATGGCAAGAAACAAGGTGTGCTTTTTTTGGTGCATTACCACATGCACATTGCATTATTTTCTTGCCCATTTTTCATTACAAAGTATGTATTTTTATTTTTCCAGAGTAGAACAAGAGACTCGAGTCAGAAACAAATGATTCATACCTTCTTAAACAATCAGGACTAATGATAAAGGGACAATAAACTGCTTCCCCTCACTATTCAGAGAATAACACACAAACTGCTGGTCTACCTTTCAGTCATGCTTTTATTTTGGACTAGAATTAACTGGCGACATATATGAAAGTACATTTTCAATCCATCTATTGATCCTGAAAAAACAGAAGACAAAGCACAAAAGACTACAATCAAATACTTCAATTTGTTTCTCAGATGAAAACCAGTATTTTAGGTGCTGGACCAAACTCGGCAGTTCTGGGAGCCTCTGCATTTAAATCCAAGCTTTTTGGATGCCTGCCTTGTTATCTGACCACCAGCTCTTCGGCTCCTTTTATAGCTAGGAGTACATAAATAAAAAGAAAGAATTTTTTTTTAACATTTATTGTGTGAAGATGGGACATTATTTGGAATAAAGAGGAAAAGCATTTGGATGACTACAAACGGATGTTAAGATGCAACCTGGCAGAGGGCAGCAAAGATCCACATGCTTGCAGTTTGACAGATGAACAAACGCTTTTCTTTACATAAGCCAAATTATTTTATATGTGCATACAAGTTTTTAGTTTTGGAATAGAAGCTCCACAATACAAGCTCAGTACAAAGCCCATGATGACTATTGAGTGTTTGAGGAATCCCTGTCTGACAATAAGTGCCTGACATAGAGCCGTTAGTCACACTGATTGTTTATTGTCATTTGCAAAGATACAAAACCTATAACTGATCTCGGAAGTGTTTGTTAATTTCAGCTACAATCTTAACCAGAAAGCAGCTGTTGTGGTTTGTGTTTATTAATTACTCAGTACTGTTGATGTCACTTCAGTCTTTTCATGCGAATACACTTAGAAGAAGAAATTAAAAAAAACTTGACTGAGCATGAAGAAGCAGGGAGGTTGCAAGTGTGTGCATGTCATCATCAAGTTTAAATATATATATTCTCTTGTGAGTCACTGTCAGCTGTGGGCTAGAAAATAACGCTGAGGTGTTTCCTGGGTCTCAGATGTTATATGATTCTGCCTGGTGAGTCATTATGCCATCAACAAAAAGCAGCATCAGTCTCCTTGTCCTCCCACTCTGTCTCTGGGAATGAGGCGCAGCTCTGAGCCATGTTTTAGAAACACATTCCCTGCAACACAGAGGAGAGAGCACCATATAAATACGGTTTATAGCCTGTGTGATTTAAGAGTCAACATTGCTGATAAACTGCAGACAATATGTTAACTCACTAGCTTGGAGAGAAACTTGAACTTTGTCTTTAAATGATCAATTTTCTACTCTCAGAAATCATGTCCAGAGTAGTGCTGAAAAATCCTGCAAACTATCATTTTTACATTGTGTAAGTATAACTGAATCTGATTAGTTTAAATGATAATATGAAAATAAAAGAATGTTTAAATAGATTTGTCAACATAGTTGCACACAGGCTGGTTAGTTACACCAACAGGGTCTGTAAGATGTCTAAACTGAAAGATAGAATCATTTCCTGATGTCTAATTTTTAGCCCATTTGTCCATCTACAGTAACCCGTCATTAAGAAATCAGGTGCATTTCAGTTAGCAGAAACGCAGAAAGTTCATTTGAATAATTTACATTCCATTATGGAACCACAGAGGCCAGTTTAATTCATAAATGGGTTCATTCAACCAGAAATCGTGCTGAGATAAGTGTATAACTAATTTCCAGAGCCATCAACGTAAGTGCACCTTTGTTATGCCATAGAAAATGTTTGGCATTAGCTTTATAAATGTGTGTGAAAAGAAAACGATTGTACAGCAGATCAGTTTCCACTGTGTACTCAAACCTGTGAACATGAGGCAGACTGGCTGCAGTGGGTGAAAGAAGGCAATCTGACAGAGGTGTCTGAGTCGAGGCTATTCTTGGCAGCACACAGCATGAATGTTACGCAGATAAAAAGCTGTGATGAAAGCCCTCTACTCATTCCTTTCTTAGCCCAAAAGACCTCATCTTGCCTTTGGTCAAAGCAGACAAATCCTTAATTCTGCCCTGTGCAGAAAAACCAGTCATCCGTTGTCCGTCTTTGTTGAAAATGATGACTTACATATGAAGAGGTGGGCTACATTTTAAGTATGAACCTGAGGGAAACACCAAGGACAATGATGCAGAGAAAAAGTGATTTGCCAAAGCTCAGCAGTAACTTGGGAATCAAATTTCAAGTTATTTGTGACTAAACAGCATCTAGTTTGCCTCCGGTCAGAAGTCACTCTTTAATAGAATACAACATTAAATGCTGCTTCTCTATATTCATGACTCAGTGAACACCATTTCCAGACAGACACCTGTGCTGACTGCTCAAACACAGAGATGCTGTCAGTTGAGATCGTTTCAGCCGCTCATGCTTATTTATAGGGAATTCAGTTCCACAACGCGGGTTTTATTGAACCTAGGTTACATTACCATGGAAACTTATCCTACAAGACTTATCAGACAGGATTACTTGTGGTGGGGGTTACTGGGGTATGCCTGAACTCCAGCTCAACCTGTGCTACGACTCTCCAACACACAACTGTGCACCACACTCAGTGCTGATACTGAATGTGGCTCAGTGTTTGAAGTTGCCAGCGATGTTGTGACTTCACACTACGTCACAGTATTACATCACCTTTGGGTAAAGAACAGATTGGGTGTAGTTGATCTACAAATAAAGTTTTAAAACACTGACTGTATTAGATAATTTATAGTTTAAAGAGAGTGGTTAAGGTGGTTTTCACTGCTGCCCATTTCAGAGTCGGTGTGCATCACTGCAAAACTGTGCCAAGCTGGTAAAGTTAGTGGTAACCTTTTATTTTTCCTTTAAGAATGTCTAATGTATTCATCAGACATTTCACACATGTACAACTCTGACATCTCTGGCCTGTCTTTTTTCAATTAATCCTGATTATTAACTTGGTTCAACTTGTCACATGATCACAAGGCTTTTCATAATAAGCTTTAAATTGCCTTGCCTTCTTTGTGCAACCACCACAAAAGACACTGCCTCTGATTGCTTTATCAAAGTTATCTTATTCATTTCATTACTAACACTGTTGTTAATAAAGTGCATTATGAAACATGCTTTATTCAAGTTCTGTATTAATGCACAATGACAAGTGGCAAAAAGCTTAAACAAAGCTCGGACGCTGATTGTGCTTCCAAGCACCTTAATACAACTGAATGTACAGACAAACAACATCTCTCACTGTTTAGAGACTAAACAATCAAAATGTTTTCCCCATGAAAAAGTAGTTTTTCAAAGGCACAGGTTCCAGAAGGATGTAACAACTCACCTGCTATCTGGGCAGGGTTGATTCCTATTCCGTCTACAAGGTGACAATGAAGGGGACCAAAAAAAAACAACACAATGTAAACCAAACAGATAGTCATGCAAATGAGCAGCACAAGAATGAAAAGAGATAATTTACAGTGTCACCAGTTTGTCCATAATGATGCTGCACTGGGCAGCAAAACTGAAAGCATGCCACCGCAGCAGCAGGCAATTCTGTCTGGAATAACAACAGACTAGTAATTAATTCTGCTCTGATAAAACCCGAACTCAGACATGGTGGTCGTAACTCGCCTGTCTTGACATGAAGCCCGTCTCAGTGCAATGTAGCAACACCCGTATGCCCAATTCTTCCCTGTAGCCCTTTAAAAATGTCATATTTTATGAACAAAATTCAGTATGTGAGGAAATGCATCAGGCATGCTGCTGGCGAACAAACTGTAAACTTCTCTTTTTAACTTGCTGAGCACTGACAGTACCAAGCAGAGGGAAACAAAACCACCACAACCTTTATGTGGAACTGCAGCTGAATTGTTGGGGAGCAACAAATAGGCTGGCAATTTTCCTTCCAACAATCACAAAGGCAATTTATTATAATTATTTTCCCAGTGATTACTATAACCATGGCTACAGGTGTTCTGCACCTAGATGGATACTGCTGAGCATTTCTACATTTTTCAGGCTCAGGTAATTATAGACATGCATCTGTTGGGTAGCTGATAGAAACTTTCCTGGTACTGCATTATTTTACCAGCCAGGGATCAAACTGCTTGTATTTGGTTTAATTATGGCCTCAATACTTCATGTTACAAGTGAAATAATCAAGTCAAAATCATGTTTGTTCTTAATTATTAAGTAACAGTAGTAACAGTACATCAAGTAAGATGTGTGATATATTTTGAATATCTTGGATCTATATTTTCCATGTTATTTAGATTCTAAATAGCAAACTTACACATTTTAAATGTGAAAACTAAATATTTTGTCAGTGGGTTTTGGGGGCCAAGATAAGTGGCATCAGTATTGTTGCAATTCCAGCTGATAGCTGATACAGAGCAATAAAGGTCGAGCAAAATAACCCACAGAAAGTGAGACTGCCACGTCTATTTTCTCCTTTGAAGCCTCAGCAGTGGTAATAGAAACATGCATAAACAGAAGATGATAACATTTGTGTTGAGGCTGACTGGCAGATTTCTCATGAATGATTATGGTCTGACTTGCAGTGTGCAATCTGATTTTGATTTTGTTAGAACTCCCTCAAATCCCTCATCCCCCAAGTTTATCGCTGAGGCTCTGAAACTCAGCTTAGTTTCCAAAGGCTTGTCACAATGCTTGGTTTCTACCAGAATATGGCTCTGAAGTAAGATAGCACAACTTACAAGCTAGTAAACATGTCACTTTTCACTTGGAGTAGTTTTTGCTAAAAAAGCAAATAAATACCAGTCTAAAGACTTCTCCCAGACTCACCATTTGTAATTATTGCACTAGTTGCCGGTGGCACTTTGAACTGTAAAAAAAATGAAGCAGAGAAAGATGATTACACTCAACCCCTCCAATTTGTGAAACTCATAGCAGAAGCTACCATTTAGCATTTTCAGATTTTTAGCAGCTCTAAAAATGTTTTGGCTAAACAGTCAGTGACATTTTGTTAACCAATCTCACTTGGCATAAAGACGCAGTGTGAATAAATCATCAAGAAAGAAAGCTTCATTCACTGAGTCAGTGCACTAAGATGCTCTAACTGTGTTGGGTGAGAACTTCAAAATAGCAGCTGTGGTTGTCTTCAGAACCAAACTTGGTGAAACAAGCAAAAAGAAAATGCTGCGTTGTCTGTTTTGTTTTCGGCCTTTTGTCTGCCAACCTTCATGCTTGTCAGGCACACACGTCTGTGTTTTCACACAAATCCAGGCCTGCATGTACACACACACGCGCGCGTGCGCATACACACAACTGAGAGCCTGAGGGAAAGGTAGCTACGCTTAAATGTCTGCAAGAAAATCACAGCACAGTCACAATGCATGCCATACTTCAGTGTTCGACAGAGGGGATGTGGGCTGGTGGGATTTACTGTGAAATGTTGGATGAAAATCTGCCACTGGGGAGATAAGGTGAGCAAACCACAGCCAGGTATCGCAAGCAAACACACGGGAAACACAGTTTACATCAACTATAAATGCACGCTGATGCAGCAATGTTTGATGTTGCATGGAAATTTAGGTTAAAATATAGTTTGTAAGGTAAATAAATAATTTTTGTCATTTGTAAATGTATCTGGTGTCTCTGACCAGCACATTAGCCAATAATGAAGCACACAGGCTTAAAATAAATATCTGCTGAGTACAGGTAAAAGGGTAAAAGGATTTCTCTTTTTGGGTTTAATGGAACTGCCAAGACTATACCTTATAAAGTCAGACATCAGATGTGAAAATGACTTTCCATTGGTTTACTGGTTTGTAACTGAAGCAAATGAACACCTTGTCTACACTGTGTAAAAACATTCCATCAGCACCACATCAGGATGTCTTGTAACTGAAGCAAATGAACACCTTGTCTATACCGTGTAAAAACATTCCATTAGCACCACATCAGGATGTCTTAAGCCACAAACCACTTTGGTAGCTTTTGACAAAATAGTAATATAGCAACAGTGATTCAGTGTAAACAATCTAATTCTACACAGTGTTCTTTTGATAGTTAAAATGAGCATTATTCAAGTCTTAGGGCTCAACTGGCCCTCTAAGACAAACTGTACAATGGTGCCACTGTTTAAAGATTATCATATGTTGTATGTGTAACATATTTACACATATACCATATATCCACATACATCATATACAGGATAATAAAGCTAAATGCAACAGTCCTGCATGACAACATCATCATCAACAACTTGGACTGGTTATTTATTTATTTTACTGATGTCCAGTTTGTCTAAGTCTCCATCCCTGTTGGTTGACTCGACATAGTCACAGTATCATGTAGAACTGACAGTACACTTACCTCCTCAGCAGCAAATTTCAAAACTGCTGTGAATGGCGTGCTCTCTGGAACACTTAGTCTGTAACAAAAATGAAAGAAACACTATTTTAAAAAATGCCAGCCTTTATTTTATTCTTCATTTTTTACTATTTATTTTTAAGCCGGAATGCCACATGAATACATATCATCTCTCCAATGACTGACTCGAGCTTCGACTGATAAGCACCCAGGCTGCTTTATCGTTTGAGAGCTAGTGATGCACACCTTAACCATTCCAGAGGTACAAATCTGTAGCTGACCCTTCATTGTGAATTCCATAAAAAAAGAAACGAGCAAAAGGAAAATTTCCTTACAGGGCCTAACTGGGTGTAACATTACTTCTGTCTGAGTCATTTTTGTCAGAGGATATAAGACCATTTATGGCATGAGTATTTATACACAGCTCCAGTTCCACATCAGTTCCAGTGAAACCTGCGGTGCAGTATTCAGTGAGGAGTGGAGACCTCTGAAGGCTATACAAAACACATATTCCAGACCTTGCATCTCACCTGTAAAGAGACATATTTGGCTGGGAGGTGAGATAAAAAAAAAAAAAATCACAAGGCTAGACTTGCAATCACCAAGTAAAGTCATACAGAAAGAGCTGAGGAGGTGTAGGACAAAGTCAATCAGCACAGTCAGTAAAGAAGCAAGTTGCAAAGCATAAGCTTTTGCTTCAGTGAAAGCCTGTCAGATTATACAGGTCTACATAAATCAAATAAGCTCAGATTTCACTTTTTTTTTTTTACAACTTACACTCAGAATGTTGCAATTATGTAATAATGTGTTTAATGTATTAGTTCACTGCCTTTACTTTTGCTTAATTTACCCTGCATTTAATGCCTCGTGAAACTATTTGAAACAACAGTTTTTAAAAGTACAATATAAGCACAATATGTATTAAATATTATAATACAGTGATGTAAATGTGTATTACTTATTGTCATGGCTGTGATTATGCCACAGGACTTTTAGCTGTCACACAGATAAATGAGATCAGTGACAATGTGACATTATTTTCATTGATGGCTCCCTGTGAGACCAAATAATCGGATGTCAGATCCACTGCTGTAAGCAAATGCTAGTCATATGTCTAAAAGACAGAATTATAATGTTATCTGGTGTATTCGGTGCCAGCCTGTGAATCACAGCTTTACACTAATAGATGTCCTCTCACTGACAGTTTCCTTAGCTCTTGTCAAACACGTCAGCGCAGGTTTCTACAATATTAGAACATATCAAAATTTTCCACGGAGGAAAGATGAGACCACTGTATCAACAAATGCTTAAGCTGTAGCGAGATGTAGATCTGGGACTGCTGAGCTGTCAGTTTACTCACACTTTGTATGGAAGCCGGGGGTCCGACGTCAACGTGATTTTAAACGTTACTTTTGACCTAATGAAAAAAATGTATTAAACGTTATTGGCACGTTCATGCTGGATAGTCAATATTAAATATATTCGAGGAACCTTTACAAAAAATGTAACTAAATCTCACATCTTTTAGGCGAGACGACTCCGCTTGCAATATGTCTATGTATACCCGGAAGTCCGAAGGACCCATACATACACGTCATCCTATCTGTACAATTTTTGACACATATTAGCAGTTTTTGTTATCGTGTTCTAGTTTTTTATTTTTATAGTTTGAGTTAAAAAGCGTATATATTTTTTACAGTAATTAGAGAAATTGTTTTGTCAATAACTAACAGGCATTCATACTAAACTACTAACGTTTCCCGTAAAGGACAAGAGTAAAGCGCACTTACATTTATTTTCTTTGACGCACACTGGAGATGAGGTATGACGCTGAGGTTCACCCAGGTAAACTTAGAGTAGCCTTCAAATTTTTTCCTAACAGAAGTTTTTTTACACAGTATGCATCCCTACAAACTGCATACACTCTACTGTCAGAACAATGGCGTGTGAAAATATGCTTGCAGATATTTAAAACTTGCTGGACATAATTGGTGCTTTCCAATTTTACCTTTGGGCGAAGTTGTGTAATTGCCATACGGTAATGTAGCAGAATCCTCAAATTGATTAAAAATGTTTGACCAAATTGTGTATTAACATGCCACGGTGTTTATCCTTGTCGACATTTTCAGAAATCCTAGAGACTATTCTGTACGAAAACTATTTTGTGTGCTGCACAATAAACATATTTTTATCCTGTTTCCCAGGTGGCAACTCAGTTTCCTCTCCAGGTAGTGGGCGGACTACAACCATTGTTTTGAATCTAGGGGTTCTAAAAATATCCTCAGAAAACAAGGTCAGCATTTTAGGTGTTTCTGCCGGTTAATTCGCTTTACTGATGATTACCCCTGTGACCTGAATGTGTACTAATAGGCTAAATGAGGGTGACTAAGTGGGGCAGCTGTGGTGTAGATGGGAAAATAAGTCACTGTAAAATGATCATATCAGCATTAAGGCCCGTCAGCCCATAAAATGGCATAAAGTTTACTTATTTCTCAATAGTGCTCACACAGGTTCGAATGTTGTTTTCTTCCATATGTGGTTTTCTTAGTATATACAGTGTTATCAGTGTTGTTTCAGTGTTGTGTGCTGTCTGACAGCCAGATCTCAGCCCTGGATGTCAGCAGTAGATGACTGACTTTCAAACAGGTCTCCTTTCAGCTGCATAACTTTAAAAACAACAACAACAGTCTTGATATTTACATGTATTCTTTGCAGAAAACAAATTAATGCAGAATGCATAATTACATTATTTCAGAAAAAAAGCATGGACAGTATGCTTGAGTGTGTCCAACAAGCCAAACATGAAGTAACCAGTGCTGAACCTTATACATACTGAAATAGAACAGAAATACAGAACAGAATGGCAGCATTTTAGCATTTCACCATCTCATCAGTGTCATTTCCAGAGGTATCATTTTCATCCAAGTGTGAAAAGCCTGAATATCAAAGTCAGCCACATGAAGTTGTTCATTGTTACCATAAATTCAAACAGCAAGCTGGTCTAACACTTGTCCGATTTTTATCATGGTTTTAAATTATTACATATCTGAGCCTTCTGGAAGTTCAGAAAAGAGTGAACATATGTCTAGTCATAAGTCTCCTGGACTGTATATTTATTGTTATGTCATATGATCAAATAGTGTCATCAGTCTGTTTATGTTGTCTGTCTAGAGTGCATCAATCATTTAGGTATAGAAGGGCAAATATGTATAATATTTTTAAACAAACCCATGATATATTTTATTTATTGTTTAACTGTTTGTTACAGTGGATGAATCCTGCCCCAGACTGATACCAGGACAGACGCAGCTACTGTTTGGCTGTGCTATAAAGACATCAGTGAGAGACTTCAAGTCACAGCGAGAGCAAAACTGGCCCATGATGGCTGGTAAGTGGATCTTAGATTATTAATTCCACAGATGGAATATGACAAATAACTGATAAATATTTAAACTATGTTAAACTCCATGTTTTTGAGATGCCACCAATATGAATTCAACTCTTGGGGCTGTACCACCAATAGAGGGAGGGGGAGGGAGAGAGATGGAGCGATGCAGTGTGGAATGAGAGCCTGAAAAGACAGTGGGAGCAGAATTATTATAATGACTCAGAGTTACAGTACAGATAGTCAGGCATGCCCCTCTGGGCTTTCAGTGGTGGGTCTTCCCCAGAATAAAGTACAAATGCAGGGAAAAATGTGGAAATACTGTATAGTGGTATATGGAACAAACAATTATGGTGAGCTGTGGCACGCAAGCATATGAATAATATATCTGGTATAGAATCTTGTTTTGAAGTAAATTTTTTTTTATACATTTACAATGTTTATTAGGTCAAGACTGAACATATCAAAAGCAGAGATTTCCTCTAACATTGTTTTTGTACATGAAAATAGTGACTTAATTCAGCATAGCTAGGACACTGTAAAGCATTTTAATGAAGCAGTCGGATTTAACGTTCTTGCCTGATCTTGTTCTCCTTGATCTTAAAGAAAACTACATAACTAGGAAGATTTTTTGTGTGCTGCCTGAATATATCATCATAGTAAATAAGAAATATTTTCTTTGAAGCAGGAAGAATAGACTAAAATATGAAAGTGTGGAGGAGTTCTGATACTGCATTTGAAATGCAAAAGGCAGGGACTGCATTCAGTGCACACTGCCAGAGCTTATAAATGTACTAAAAGCAAGTCCTAGAGAGACAAAGAAAATAACTACAGTCTGCAGAAATGTAACAGTAAGCAATGAAGCTGCTGCTAATGCAGGCAAGCATGTGTATGCAGATACAAACAAGAAGATGCAAACAAATACATGTGCAGTACACACATACATGTATGTGTGTGCATGCAGCAGCCATCTTGTAACGATAGAAGAAGGCCTCTGATGAATTGTCTGTATTATTTTACACCGGCTCAATGGACATATTGACATTATCACATGGTCTCACCCTCAGGGAAAGGGCATACACATCATGGTGACCCAGTAAGAAAATCAAAGCAACATGGTAGGTCACAGTGCACAGTGTGAAATTGAAATTAAGTGTGTCTATAACCTCCGTTGAAGAACTCGGTGAATTACAACCATATGCCATTCTGTGTTTATATGTATAACACTTTGTTGCTAGAAATACTCTGCAACACCCCCTCAGTAATCTATTTGGATTCCAAGTTGTTTGATTTGTGTGTGCTGCTTTTGATTCAGGGCTTTTATATTCCTGTGGTTTGTATTTCTATTAGCCATATAATGTTAACCAGCATGGCTTATTATCCGTAGATTTAAATGCTGTTGAGTTGACCTGAGTGATATACCAGCATCAGTTATATGTCAGTACTAAAGATACAAGGTACGAGATATTTGAAAAGCCTAAACCTTCCTTTCATACATTTCCCGACCTCACCTCTCACCTCTCTGACTGCTGAGTTTGCCTGAGAATAAAACAACCCCAGCTGCTTGATAAATTGCATAATGCCATCTTGTGTTGCTTCATAATAGACATTTGGCTTCTCGACTTCCTTTACAGCTGAAACCCAGACTTGAAATCTGCTGCTTCAGACAGAGAGGTAGTTTATAATAAATTCCTTAATAAAGAGCCTCTAACCTCTGAGTAGCCTGTTGTTTTTATTATGAGGGTGCTGTGGCATTAAAGCTCAGGCTTAGCTCATCAAACTGTACTAGTGGAACAAAGGATCATCAGGTCCAGTTCAGTTTGTAGAACTAAACTAGCTTAAAGAGAAATCAGTGGACTTTACATACACCTATCAAACATATATAGGATGAAAGTCAAGTTGTAATTTTTAAAATTAGCTAAACAGTATAAAGCAGCAGATTATTCTGTGTTTCTGTCATTGCTTCTTTCCCCTGGATAACCTAATGGCATTTGACATTAACATCACATACTGTACATGTCCACTAAACAAAGACAATCTGAAAATACCCAAACATATTCTGTGCTACCGAGATATTTGGCTATTGGTAGAAAGTATGGCACACTCTTACTACTGCTTATTGCAAGCATGCAATTGCAAACTGCGCGTGTGCATGTGAGTGAGTGGCTGGCAGCCATATCTTCATAGGGTTGCAATGGTCAGGGAGTGAAGGGTTGCAGGGGGAGAGTTGTAGGCATGTACCATACAGCCACATTGTGAGGAGTCAATGTGAGTGGTTTCATTCACGTTTCCAGCCCCTGAACATGTTGCACGGAGTAACGCTTGTAACAGGTTCTGTGTTTGTTTCATCTACACTTGACCCACTTTGGAGGTGAGTTCTGGGAGCTAAATTTCAGCACCCCTCAGGAGGTAGTACTAAAATCATGTACCAGGACCATGTGGGGAGAGGGTCCATGATTGCAAAGCAGTTGCTGGTGATTGGTTAAATGTCCACATCTTCACACCCCAGGGATTAGTATTACATGCAACATGTGAAAACACACAGCTGACTGTATGTGAGAGAGAGCAGCAGCCCCTCTGTCATAATTACGTGTTGTTATGGTGCTTTAAATGCAGTTCAAATTCAGCAGTGAATAGCAGTGAATGCTCATACTAGCAAGATAAGAGACTTCTTCCCGTGGGTGTCCATGTCCTTGTGTCTGGTTGTTTTGGTGTACAGTGTTCTGTAGCTCCATCCACAGGTGAGGGGTTTAAACAGTTTGTGTCCAGGATGTGAGCGAATATATCCAGCACAACAGATATTATATCTACAGTTAATACATTTGGCACTATACCTAATGCTCCTCTCTGTTCCTCATGTTGACTTGGTCTTTGTTCTTCAACTAACCGTATTTCAGTAATTAAAAACCAGTAAAATAAAAATCATACAGTACATCAGGAAGATTTTAACATGTATTGTTGTTCTGTTGTTTGAAAGGCTTACATAACCATATCTAAAACAAATGATCTTCTCAGAGTTGTCATACAGTGACACATGGAACATACTGTATCTCCTAAACAAGTTGTGTGTTTAGCTGAAAATGTAATGGAGATGTAAATACCAGAAACTGGTACCAAATCTGTGATAATTTTCTTGGTCCTGTGTATTATTTTCTGTGATCATACATTAACATAATACACTTTTGTTAGTTATGTGCTGAATTCTACAGTTTTTTTTGCCATA